TATATATATATATATATATATATATATATATATATATATATATATATATATATACTATATATATATATATATATATATATATATATATTATATATATATATATATGTATATATATATATATATATATATATATATATATATATATATATATATATATATATATATATATATGTATGTATATATATATATACATATACATATATATATATTATATATATATATATATATATATATATATATATATATATATATATATATATATATATTATATATATATATATATATATATATATATATATATTTATATATATATATACATATATATATATATATATATATATATATATATATATATATATATATATATATATATATATATATATATATATATATATATATATATATATATGTATATATGTATATATATATATATATATATATATATATATATATATATATATATATATATATATATATATACAGGGGCTATTCTAGACCGTTTTCGACAGCGCCGACCGTATTTGGGCGCCGCCCAAATTCAGGTAATTGAAGACCTTTTTTTTAAATTTATTTAACATATATGTAAATATTTATAAATATGATAGAGAAATATAATATATATATATATATATATATATATATATATATATATATATATATTTATTTGGCATTAATTTTGAATAGATCCGTTGTCTTGCAGCCGTTATATAAAAATAAATGAATATGAAAATAAGTTTCAATTTATGGTTTTTTATTTTGAAGAGACTTGGACATAACTTTTTAATTTAGCGCGTATATTCACCGGACCACCAGTACCATTGTTTTTAAAGTTCGTACATTAGTAAACGCATTTAGGTTGATTAAAGTAGTAATGTTTTTTTATTTAGCTTATATTTATTTGTTTTAATTTTTGGCAAAAATATGGCAATAATTATTTTAAAGATTTTTTTTATTAACTACATCAACAGCAGTTTCATACAATAATTATTTTATACATGGAAGTTATACATATAAGTTATGGACTCAATGAGATTAGTAAGTTTGTTGCAGTAAATATTTGGGTTTTTTTCCCCATAAACATTTGCAATCTAGTAAATTTAAGGTAATTTGGCTATTTGTTAATTTATTTTTATTTCAGTGAAACTTCTGTGCAATATTTATTTTTAGGTAGCAACTTCCTTATAAAATTTATGTAACAGATCATTTTAACAGGAATGAATTATAGTGAATTATTTCAAATACATTTAAACATAATAATAAAGCTAAAAACTAACTAAATTTTTGTTTATCTAAAAACAAAAATTTTGAAATTTTCTAAACATGTTTCGGCCCCCCCCCATTACTTAAATTTTAAGAGGGGGAGTGAGGCAGAGGGGTACCGCCGCCCAAATTATTTTCCTAGAATGAAATTATTTTCCTGATATATATATATATATATATATATATATATATATATATATATATATATATATATATATATATATATATATATATATACATATATATATATATATATTACAAAGTATATAAAAGCAGTTATAGAGCTTTAACTGTGAGAAGTTATAGAGCTTATGCTCTATATATTGTTCCGAAAGGTCATTTTGATTGATTTTCTAAGTTTGGAACATTTTATTGGATTTTCTATGGTTTAAACAATTTTAAATTGAAATAAAAAGTTCATATAATAAACAACTAATCAAAAAATAATCAAATGCGGAATAAATCTAAACCTTTTCTGGAACTTTTCCAGAAACTTTCAACTTCCAGTATGTTTACAGGCTTTTATTCAAGTATGACATTATACAAGAGATGAAACTATTTTATACATACTGGATGCCCTTTTTGATGTAAACCTGATCAGAACCAAGTATTTTAATTATGATACCAGCAGGATGATTACGATCAAAGGTTTATAATATACTTTTACATATACTTTTATATTTCAACTTTTACCAACTTTTTTTACATCAGTTTGTCAATACTTGTAGAGCTTTCTCAAACTTAATGAAAAGAATTTATGAAACAAAAACTTGCTCTTAAAATATAGTTTATAATAACTATTTTACTTCATATTTAAATGTCATTGATATAATAATACATTAAAAACAATACATTAAAAACAATACATTAATAACATTACCTTCATAACAATACATTAATAACACATTTGATCCATTATTAAACTTTTTTTTAGTTACAAATTTTATTCGAAAGATTTTTATGCAAAAAAACAATTCTGAAAATAAATAGCGATAATAATCTGACATAATAAAAATTTGTTAAAAACATTAAAAATTACCTTTGCACATCGCATGAGATGATTTCGCCAGTTTTTTGAAGTAATCTTGTGATAAGGATCATAGGGACAAATGAAAAGTTCGAAAGGATCATTACTTTCATCTGTTGGAAAACTAAATTAATTTTAAATAGCAAATGAAAAAAAACAACAACAACAAAAAAAAAAACATTTAAAGTTATAGTTTACAATAAATCAAAAAAAGTGTTAACCTATATTTTCAGACCAGGAACAAGTACTTTTATTGTGATATAATCACTGGAAAGATTACCACCAAGGCTTTATAAGCTCTATCTCCTACCCCAACTTACAGATAAAATAGAGGTTTTATATAAGAGATTTCTTTCTCATGTGTAAATAATTCGCCACGACCAAAGAGCATTACCTATTTCAGTAAAGATTATCAGAAACTGGCTGATATTATTTATATGGTATTATCTTCCACTGACAGAATCAATTAAACAATCTGGGTAGTTCAAATCTACAATTTCAAATAGGGCACTGCAAATAATAACTTATGCTAATCAACTGAAAAACCCAAAAAAAATAAAGTTAGTTGTGCTAAAGTAAGTAAGCTATGTTTTGTGACAAATAATTAAAAAAAAACAGGAAAAAAAAAAACAATCGAAGAACACTCTATTTTTGGAGAACTTTTTGATATCACTAATATTAAAGGCATAAAATTTTTTATACAACTTTTAACAATTTTTAACATTAGGAGAAATTGGTCACAGTTTTTCTACCCAAGTACCATTACACCTTATATAGAATTATTTTAGAGGTTTTATTTAATTTTTATCTTTTTTTTAATTTACAAAGAGTATGCTGAATAAGACCTAAAAACTTTTTGGTAGGATCAACAGTAAATATTATGAAATCACCAAGTTGTCCATCTATTATTTGTATTGCTAAATGCAAATCTAAAAATTAAATTTTTTAGATGATTTTATTTTAATTAATCATTTAAACTTTAATCGCCTTCACAAATATGAATTTTCCATATATTGTAAGAACTCAACACAAACTTTTTTTTTTTAATTCTAATTTACTTCTAACAAGGATGCAAGTAATCACTATTAAGTTAGGAGTTACAAGGAAAAAAGAATAGAGCTAAAAAGCAAGGAAACAGTTGATGGAAGACTTGAAAAGTTGTAGGTTAAACGAGTCAGGAAAACATGAAAATGGGAGACAGTTCTAAAGGGTTGAAGTGTGGGGGAAAAAACTACACAAATAAATTTTTTGAGAGTATGCAGGCACAGCAAGAATAAGGTTTAGTTGATGAGTCCAGTAAGAATAAGTTTTAGTTGATGGAACTAGAAATGACAGGTCCTTTGAGCAGCAACCATATTAGGCAATAGTATTTGTAGAAAAGATAAAGATAATGGGAGAGAGGCTCAAGCTCAGCAGATAGAGCGGGTCCAACTACTTTTACAATGGCTTTGTCTAGAAGAGAAAGAGCATTATTAGAAAAACCAACCAACAATATGACAACAGTATTCCATTACAGGAGAGAAAAAAAGATTTGTAGAGGTAGAGAATGGAATCAGGAGTAAGAAAATGGCAAGCACAATAAAGAGAACCGAATTTAGTAGATGCTAATTTAACAATCTATTGTATATAGAGTTTCCAAGAGAGGTCAGCTGTAAACTATAATCCAAGAAAAGAAGACTCAGTGAGAGGGTTGCCATTCATTAGTATAGGAATGCTGACAGTATTGTAATAGTTGTTTGCAGTAAACAACTATCACAGTAAATAACTGAATTTTATTGGAGAAAATTCACAAGCAACTGCAAGCCCTAACCTGTTACAGAAGTTAGATCAGATTTAATATTGACAAATGAGACAGAATGTTAGACCTTTGTTAATGATACTGTTGAAGATTTTCCAAAAGTCTCTAGAGCCTTCTGAGATAAGATACAAGATTTAGTGACCTGAGAATAATGGAGCTTAGCATCAGATAGCACTATTTTACATTAATTTTTTTCAATAACTAATAGCTGTTTATTCTGTGAGTCATTTAAAAAAAAAAAAGATCAGACATAACAGCTGCAAAAGTGTGTGAAAATCATGGAGTAGAATGAGAATGCAAAAGATTGACAACAAAAATATAGTTACCATGGGTACCCAAATTAGGCTTTATACTTTGATAATTATTTTAAAACATTGGCATTAAAATGGCCTTCTATTTTGGTAACTCCTTACTTAACATTTTGTAATAACTCAAAATAATCTCTGAGTAGTCACTCAGGTGTATACTAATTTTATTGCACATGTGGTGGATGTTACATTAGTTAAATGAGAAAAAAAGATTTCTACACAAATCCAAAAATATAAAACGAATGTACTAAAGTCAACTGAATTGCATCTGGAGTGGTGAAAATAATAAAACATAAATAGGACAATTTTTTTTATTCTCTTTTATAGAAGTTTCATGTCTATTGGTAATCACCAGATAATGAATACAAAATTACAAAATTTTGTTGATTGGCTGTTGGTTTTGCTTTGTTTTTTTTCATTTAAGTAAAAGTTTTATTTTTAAGTTTCCATATTTCTTTAGAGAGTTTTTATTTTAAGTGCGTTAAAATATTTGCATTATAATAAAATATGTGCGTTAAAATAGTTAACACACCTTAATCTAAATAGGGTTTCAGCAACACTAAACAAAACTTTAAAATAAAGAGATTTCACATTTTTGCACACAATTGTAGTTAACTTATGATCAAAAATTTTATGTACTCTGAGATCTACTGGAACGTGAGATCTACTGGAAAGTGGCACTTAAAGCTTAACAACTTTGAATTTTTGTTTTAATATTTTTGCAGAAGGAGGGGGAAAGATGGACAGAGGGTTGTACCATATAACTTTGTATTTGAAGTGATTATTTTGAAATTTTATTTTTTAGGATGAGTTTTTTTGAGATCAATTTTAAGGTACACCATTGATTTTAATTGTTTCTTTTAATAGTAGAATGTGAGAATCATTGTGTCCATAAATTGCCAATGTATTGAATCGTCGCATTGATAAAATTAATAAAAACAATATTTCCATTTTTAAGTTGATTATCAGATTTACAAATAGGCTTCTCAGATTTAATGATACATTGAGACAATTTTAATACTGCATTGAAGATGAGCAATTTGTTACTTTTAAAAATTAGTAAAAAAAAAAATACTCTTTGATTTTCTCTATTTGCTGGCCACTTTTTTTATGCCTGATTTTTTAATTCTGGCTTAGTTTTTGTTAGCATTTGTTAGCAGGTTATTCTTCTTTGGATATTGTATACTAACTGAATGCTTACTTGCATTAAAATTTTGTGCAACATACATTTAATGTCTTTTGTTATTATTGTTTTTATTGTATTAAATTTATTCTTGACAAAATTTTTATTGTATTAAATTTATTCATGACAATGACCTGGTTTTTATGACATTAAAAAAAAGATTTAATGACATTAAAAAAAAAGGAACAACAATTGAAAAAAATGAAAATAAACATGTTTTTTTGATGCAGAATTCAGTTTAATTTATACAATATTTTTTAAGGTACTGAAGATACAAGTTGTTTTGACTGCAGTTGGAATATTTCAAAATATTGTTGCCATTTTGCTCAAGCTTTTTCCATTTTAGCTTTTCCAAATAAATAGTTTCTACTGTAACTAGAGAAAGTTTTTTTTCTCAGATTTTTATTATGTAATAACCAGTAGTGGTCTCTTTGAGGGAACTTAAAATGATAAACCGATGGACATATTGGGTAGAAAAACTTTACTTTAGGACCAACTTCTTGGTTAATTTCAGTTACAATACCAATCCACTACTTATAACAGACTACTACAGCAAAACCTCGTAAAGTGGCAAAAGTTTTTAAAACAAGATATTAGAAGTTGTAATATCTGCAGTCAAAATCAATAGTGATCTGCATGATCTGTAGTTTGCGTTATTATCTTAACATTATCAGAAAATCCTTAAATACATAAGCAACTAAAAACATCTTTTGATGTCAACATTTGATTAAAAACTGGCCTTTGGACAGGTTATTAATAACTCTTTTCACTGTACCACCTACTCCATCACATGCACTTTTTCCATGTGTAGTACCAAAAAAATGACAATCTGCTTTCAGTTCGTAATCTTTGTAATGAAAACAAATGTTTTGCAAATTAAACCTATAACACATAACAAACAAATCTCTGTCTTTTATCAAGCCTATAATTTTAGGTATTAAATAGATAAATACTTCTTGCCAATGGTTAAAATCATAATTCACTTATGCTATTTTGTTTGAAGTTGTTAATGTATGCACAAAAAGGTAGGATTTTTCTTTTATACAAAATGTCCACAAAAAGCTTACCTTACCAGGCCCCAGAATGCAATGTCATCACTAAAGGTCCCAGTGAAGCAATAGTAATTGCACAATTCAACAGCTACCAAGTTCACCATCCTCCAAACTCGATTGACATTCATTTAGCCTTCTTAAAGCATAAGGCACCAAAAATGGATCATCCCTGAATCAGTCAGAAAATCTCAGAAGAAGAGTAGGCAAACTTTATTATTCACTGTACATTGTTCAAGAGATGTACAAACATCAGATAAGAAGAGATGACAGCTGTGCTGTCATCTCTTTTTATCTGATTGATCTCTTCTTATCTGATGATTGAGGCTCTTGACAAAGCCTCAATCACAGATATCATTGCTTTTATAGAGGGTAAGGAAATGGCATGAAATACACTAGGCTGTAGTTCAACAACAGCAAGTGTATCAAATTTCAAGAAACAAAACAAAAGCAATAAGCAGGATATTAAAAGGGCCAATACTACAGTCAAATGATTAGACTACTCAAAATCTTACCACTTATTTACAGAATCGCCTAGAGGATGAAACACAAAATCCCACAAGCTGTGTCTAGACTGTCGGAAGAAGCTTAGATTTTGCACTTCTAAAATTAACAACACAATCATCAGTTTGTATTCAGTTTAATCATCCCAAATGATATAAAACTGAATACAACTAAAGATGCTGAGGCCAGTAGACTTGTGTTAAAGTTGAGCACAACTGAGCATTTAAATCGAAAAAATAAAATAAAATCACAAATGATGACCAATGCGAAGCAATGCTCCAC